ATCCCTAATAACGTATGTAGAATGTGAGTTTCGCACGGGGGAGTTGTAGTTTTGATTCAATTTTCTATGCTCTGCACGGAAAGAATATCGACATTTTTCCGGCTTTTATGTCTGTATAAACTGGTGGGATCTAAAGGGAAACCGGCCTTGATTCAAGCTGTTTTATCTGGGTGTCAACTTAAATCCATCGACTTTACATTAACATGAGGGGTTAATGGATGAAATTTTAATGAATTTTCAGTTTATATTGAGCGTAAAATGCGGATAAATAAAGTGGAATTTTCTGAGGAGCTAATCCATAGTAGAGAGTAGTGGATAAATTACTGATTTCATGCATTTTTGTCGTATTCAAAATAGGTGATTACTTTTGTAAAGTTTTCAAAGTAACTCACAGCCAAATTTAAACAATCTCACATCCATTTTTGGGACTTTGCTGCTGTACTTGGGATATGTGCAAAACGGCGTCCTCTACTGTGCACAATAATATCAGATATAGGAAAATACTGGCATAGTAACTCTGATCTGTTCTGCGTTCCGTAGGACATTGCCCTGGTTCATTTAGATATTGTTCGTTTGCTTTTGGTAGATTTTGTGCACTCTGTTTTCAGTTAAATTATGTATAAAAATGAATAGCTTGTCTCACTGACATCTGCAAACATTTGATTGATCGAAATTTTGTGTCCAATAGTTATTTGATTATTTATCCAATCGATCACAATTTTCAGCAGCGTTTTATCGATGATCATTTATTGCAGGTGATGATCATTTGTTTTTCGCGTTTTAACGTCTGATTTCTTAAATCTGAAAATAGTCGCGAGATTACGCAGATAACGTCCTTTATCTTTAACGGAAAACATTCTTTAGTTATGTGACTAGTGAGGATATTCATTCATCTTTTTTGTCCAGCAATATGTTATTTATTTTATGAGAAATTTTATTTTAAAAATGTGCATGTATTAAAGTTCTTCAGTTTGATAAACATCTGCCTCGTGACACCATTAAAGATCAGTTGAATCATGTGAAAACTCTCAGCTACTTGTTTACTCTAAACAAAAATTTTCTCTTGCACTTAGGTCTGTTTTCTTATGATACACCACCTATAATGAATGCAATAAATAATCAACAACTTCCCTCGTCGGCTACTCCCTCGCCTAATCCTTTATCTTCATCCACAACAACTCTCGCATCTTCGACAACCGGCAGCGGTAATAATACTTCGACAGTAACGTCAAACCAACAAGCTCCTTCAACTCCCTCATCATCTTCATCTTCTGCCGTCTCTCGCGACCGTATATCACAGTGGATCACCGAGCTTCTTTCATCATCTTCACGGGAAGGTGCTCTAATGGAATTAAGTCGCAAACGCGAAAAAGTAGCCGATTTAGCCGTGCTTTTATGGCACTCATTTGGTTCGGTTGCCGTCTTGCTACACGAAGTCATTAGTGTTTATCCTTACATAACACCACCAACATTAACAGCACAGCAATCAAATCGTGTATGTAATGCATTAGCTCTATTACAATGTATTGCCTCGCATCCTGATACACGGTCATTATTCATACAAGCGAATATACCATTATTTTTGTATCCATTTCTAAATACAAAGTCATCTACAAGACCATTTGAATATTTGCGTTTAACATCATTGGGTGTCATTGGTGCATTGGTTAAAACAGATGAAACAGATGTTATTAATTTTTTATTAACAACAGAAATAATACCATTATCATTACGAATTATGCAATCGGGTAGTGAACTATCGAAAACAGTTGCTACATTTATATTACAAAAAATTTTAGCAGATGATTGTGGTCTCAGTTACATCTGTCAAACGTTTGATCGATTTTCACACGTGGCAATGGTTTTGGGGCGAATGGTTTTACAACAGGTATGATTTTCTTACGAAGTAGCGTGACAACATGGTAGCAGTACAAATTCACTCGCATTTGTAGTATTTATTTTTCTTTTAGCAACGTGAACCGAGCGGACGATTGTTAAAACATATAATTCGTTGTTATTTACGTTTATCGGACAATCCTCGTGCTCGAGAAGCTCTACGTTCATGCTTACCTGATTGTTTGAAAGATCACACGTTTGATATTGCTTTGAAAGATGATCAATCAACCAAGAAATGGTTGACACAATTATTGATGAATTTAGAAACATCATCGTCGACGAATGCTATTAATAGCGTCGCTGTTGGTCAACAACAGCAAGCATCAACATTCCAACAACAATCATAAGCTCTCTTGACTTGTGTCTTTTTCTTGTCTTAGCAGCTAGTCAACATATACATAATTCTTTCTTATTTCTGTTTCTTTTTGTTTGCTTAGCCTATTCTTTTTTCATACCCATTTTGTTTAATGCGCTTTACTTATTCACATCGAAGAATCGTTCAAAGGCATTCTTGATTTTCTGATGTTTGAAGTATTTATTCAACGATATTTTCAGCAAAAATAAATGAAGTGTGCGTACGTTTTAAGCTGTCTAAGCTGTATAAGGTTTAATTTTGCTAGAAGAACTTGCAAATCAAATCCACAGAGCTCAGACTGAGATCATCCACTAGTTAAACATTAAAACTTGAACTGTGAGATCCATTTTTGTATAAACTGACTATCCATTCTGGAGAATAAAAAACTAAAATGAGGTACTTTTCTCGCAATAATTATTTGTTGATTATATGGCTTTTTTTGACGCTTATACTTGTCTAAAACCTGTACTTTCGAAAATGGATTACTACTATTTAATATCGCCTAGCATACTGTGAACCATTAGAGACCGCTAAAAAGTTAGCAGCACGAACAGTAAGCACTCAATTCAATTATAATGTTAACAACGCTGAAATTGTTTACCAGTGGTCAATGCAAATACAAAGGGTGACTGACCTGTCCAAGTACCTGACTGAAGTAAGTCAAGTAACGACGCTTCGCAAGTTCTTGCTCAAGTACTTGTACCAAGTACATTCAATAGAGCTCCCTTTTCGGAGCTATAAACGCCCAAAATGCTACAGTATGAATGTTGTAAACATCCATTTCCGAGTTGTAAACCAAGAGGTGGGTATGGTAAAAAAGAATCGATCTCTCTATTTTCAAAGAATTTGTAGCTTCAAACCTCAAACTTCCATTTCCTTCGGAAATCGGACAACTCATGTGAATATTTGGGTTTGAATGCGTCTACAATGAAACAGCTGGATGTATCGAAACGCAAATGTGTTCCACGCGCATTTCGATGTGTCAAACGCATCTGCTGGCAACGCTAAATGCGTCTGAGACAAAATCTTTGCATGGGAAGTCCTAGACAGTTTTCACAAAAAATTGTTTAATGTGAAAATGGTATGGTAA